AGCCCAACCGGAAGCCTCAAGCGAAGGCAACTCATCTAATTCCTATGCTTAAGCTATCCCCCCCTCCCACTCTTAAGCCCGACCCGAGGCTTCAAGCGAAGGCAATCACCCAATTCCTATGCTTAAACTATCTACCCCTCTACTCTTTAGCCCAACCGGAAGCCTCAAGCGAAGGCAACTCATCTAATTCCTATGCTTAAGCTATCCCCCCTCCCACTCTTAAGCCCGACCCGAGGCTTCAAGCGAAGGCAATCATCCAATTCCTATGCTTAAACTATCTACCCCTCTACTCTTTAGCCCAACCGGAAGCCTCAAGCGAAGGCAACTCATCTAATTACTATGCTTAAGCTATCTACCCCTCTACTCTTTAGCCCAACCGGAAGCCTCAAGCGAAGGCAACTCATCTAATTCCTATGCTTAAGCTATCCCCCCCCCCCTCTTAAGCCCACCCGAGCTTCAAGGAAGGCAATCACCCAATTCCTATGCTTAAACTATTTACCCCTCTACTCTTTAGCCCAACCGGAAGCCTCAAGCGAAGGCAACTCATCTAATTCCTATGCTTAAGCTATCCCCCCCTCACTCTTAAGCCCACCCGAGGCTTCAAGCGAAGGCAACTCATCCAATTCCTATGCTTAAACTATTTACCCCTCTACTCTTTAGCCCAACCGGAAGCCTCAAGCGAAGGCAACTCATCTAATTCCTATGCTTAAGCTATCCCCCCCTCCCACTCTTAAGCCCACCCGAGGCTTCAAGCGAAGGCAATCACCCAATTCCTATGCTTAAACTATTTACCCCTCTACTCTTTAGCCCAACCGGAAGCCTCAAGCGAAGGCAACTCATCTAATTCCTATGCTTAAGCTATCTCCCCCCCCCCACTCTTAAGCCCACCCGAGGCTTCAAGCGAAGGCAATCACCCAATTCCTATGCTTAAACTATCTACCCCTCTACTCTTTAGCCCAACCGAGGCTCAAGCGAAGGCAACTCACCCAATTCCTATGCTTAGCTATCCCCCCTCCCCCACTCTTAAGCCCGACCCGAGGCTTCAAGCGAAGGCAATCACCCAATTCCTATGCTTAAGCTATCTACCCCTCTACTCTTTAGCCCAACCGGAGGCGTCAAGCGAAGGCAACTCATCTAATTACTATGCTTAAGCTATCTACCCCTTACTCTTTAGCCCACCCGAGGCTTCAAGCGAAGGCAATCACCCAATTCCTATGCTTAAGCTATCTACCCCTCTACTCTTTAGCCCAACCGGAAGCCTCAAGCGAAGGCAACTCATCTAATTCCTATGCTTAAGCTATCCCCCCCCCCCCCTCTTAAGCCCGACCCGAGCTTCAAGGAAGGCAATCACCCAATTCCTATGCTTAAACTATTTACCCTCTACTCTTTAGCCCAACCGGAAGCCTCAAGCGAAGGCAACTCATCTAATTCCTATGCTTAAGCTATCTACCCCCCCACCACAGCATCAGCAGCCACAGCAGCAGCAACTCAAACAACAAGCCCAAGTGCAGCAACAGCAGGACGGACTGACTACAGAGTTATAACTTTCGATTGTTTTGAACAGAACAACTATTGGGGAACGCTTGACCAGGCAGGTGAAAATAGATTGGTTTGTCAAAGCCAACTTACAGACGGAACAGCGAATGTGATGACGTGAGAGCTAAAATCGGAGATATGCATAATTTATTTGAATGGAGTACGGGTCTAGTGGACTTTAGACTTTAGAAGATGAAGAGGCTGCTGGTGACTGAAGCTTGACGATCGTAGTTTCTACTTAAGACTGTTAGGACTTGAGAATAAACGAAGACTGATGTCAGTAACTCGCGACGGGATTCAGCATTAGCTAGTGAAATCGAAAATGGTGAAGCGTTAGATATGATAATATATACATGCATACCCAGCTGAGCTAGGTAGATTATCTGTTTAGCTTTTTTGTGTGTGCTTTATTTAGATATTCCACTATGGTCTCGTCATTTTTCGATGGAGCCTTCTTTCGAGGCTGAAAATATTATGAAGCGTTTAAGATATAATTGTTTCATTTAAACCAGTGGAAGAAAGTGCATGAACAAATGATTTAACAAATATTACAATGCTACTAGATCTTCTGGATGGGATAAAACCTTCCTGGATCGACAGAATAAACTGACTGTAGAAGTAGAAGATATAGAACCTACTACCAAACGAAGAATCGTTGTCTTTCAGATGTATACCTGGAACAAAATAAAACTAGCATCCCTGAACCACTCATGGCTCAGAATACGTATCGATGAACTTGCCCATAGATCCTGGCTTGCGATAGTAATGAAGACGATTCAAACACACCCGTTGATCAGAGCTGCATGAGAAGCAGGAAATTAGGTGGGAATCTTTTTAAAAAATGCGCCGCATAAGTTATAGGGATCACTGGTTTTGGACGTCGAACGATTAATTCTCAGTACCCGACGAGACTGAATAACCTGCCGACCCAGTAACGATATTGACCCATTGGGCATTTTAGCACCATGATACACGTTTCTAATTCACATATGAACTATGAGTGTGTTTGATGCGAGAGTAAATAAGTCGTTGTTAGCAATTTTCACAGCATAAGTGTACAGTAAATCCCACTAAAGTATGAATTGAAACTACCGTAAATCCGTTTATGTTGCATCCTCATCACGATAATTTATACGTATATCTTTAATTATATAAGGCTAAAATATGCTTGGCTATGTAATGGAAGCAACGAAATGAAACTGTATAAACTTTACATTAAGGCCAGGCAGTCAATTAGAAGAACATGGGACATTTCTGTGCGTATGGCACATTTCGTCCACTGCACCATCGAATCGGTGGCGTCGATGACCCGTTTACGAGCATACCCCACAGTTCTATATATATATATATATATATATGGAACGTTAAATTGTGATTTCAACATGAACATGATATTTTATAGTCTGAGAGTCGGAAAGTTCAGCACACATTCATTGTTCTGTGTTATTAGCTTTAGTCAGTCTATCGTAGAGTGCTACATTAATATATGTAATTAGGTGAAAATTGTATTTATTTTAACTACGTGATGATCTTTTTTTTGTCTTTGTAACTTGCGAACGATGTGTTAAGTTGAAAACAAATGTGTAACAGGGCTAAGTTTTATGACGAACACACGGCTGAACGCTCCTTGTATCGTTCTAAGTAACATCATAGGTTTTACATTACTAAGGAACAACGGGGAATATGAATGCGTTTTTCTTTTAATTATCGTAATTCGTAACGTAAAAGCTAACTTATTATGTTATCATAAAAGAATCACTAGAAACTATTAACTTGACGTTTTTAATCTAGATAGTAACAGCTCTACCAAGCCTTTACCAAACAGTATTGTAATCAACCTGTATTTCTATAACATGTAGAAAGTATATCAGTGATCTACCGACAAAGAAGGATTCGTCTATTAGACATACGTGTAACGCTTGGCTCCGAATGTATAGAAAGCACACATTTGGTAAGTTTAAGTTCGAATACGTATTTTTCATTCCCGCCGCGAACAAAACAATCTGGTTGATAGTTAGTAACAATGATGCAATCATAAGAAAAGGCGAAGTTCAACATGATTGGATTGCAAGTACTTTTTGTCTATATTATACATGTATTAAAACGGTGGCAAAAACCCCTCTGGCTTCCACCATCGTTGACTAATATATATAGATACACACACATCAATCGATAGGATCGGACCGGTTATCTTTTGCTAAATACTTTCATTTCAGTTTCGTGCAATAGATATAGAACGGATACATGATTGATGAGGATAATATTGATGGATTTTGTATACTAGTCAACGAGTAAACTGGAAAGGATGCTGTTTGTGGCTATGTTATTCTATGCACGTATTCCAGGCTAGGGGAAAATGAATGGAGACGAATAATAACAGCAAAAACAAATAATAGCATCATAGTAAATAAAGGAAAAAATCAATGTCTTCTAAAAGTAATATCCGTAACCAAAAACTGTGTGTTTCTTTTCGGCCGACGTAGTTGTCTCTATCTACTTCACAGGATCGCTTGAATACAATGGCGCTACATTTCAGGTAAGAACATTTTCCCTCACTGACCCTGAATCTAGAGTGGCTCACAATTTCCGGCCCTGGGAGCTTTCTAGAAAAGTTGAGAGGTGCGTCCGCTCGGCCTTGTAGCTATTTAGCTTTCAAACCGCACTTCAGCTTGTGATCAGATAAGGCTTATCCACGCAAGCACACAGACGACACTCAGACCGGTTCCAAAAGAACAGTAACAGTCATAATGTTGGCACCTTGGGTTGATCCGGGAAGAGTTTCCAACAACAACCCTTCAACAAGCAACAAAAACCTTCTAAACTCCGTAAGAGGTTCGACAGATTCAGTCAAGGGCACGTAGCGAACCAGGGTAGTACATTACCTGGCCGCATTTTATAAGAACAGGCCTAAGCACGGTGAGCTACCATATGTGCTCATATACGATCATACATATGAGATGTGATCACAGGCGGTCTCGCCCCTAGCGGTCCACGCGATCGCCTAGGTCGTACTCATACGAAGCCCATTAGCTGCTTAAAAGTGCTTCCATGGCTTTGGAATCTTTTATATCTTGGACGCTGCTATAAATTCCTGAAGTTTTTTTGTTCTTCTAATAAATAAAAGAAAATTCTGCAGTATTCCTTTTTTGTAGGTATACCGTAAATATTGGAGAAAAACCAGTGTTTTTCTTTCATTTTGAACAGTTTTCTCATGAAGTGAAAGCAACTTCAAAACCGTCATGTTTTAGTGTTTTTAGCAAAGTAATATAATAATAACTGCGGCTTGTATGGAGGAGATCGAATACTCGCGTAATGGTAGACTTGAGCCTGTGAGATGTTGAAACCCAACTTTTATTATCTATCCCTTCTCATTGACCATATTATACGGGCGATTAGTGACTGTGTGCTTCTTCTGCGTCAAGATTTCTTTAGTATGAAGGTATTGAGTTATCTGGAGTTCCTCGGACTATTGAGATCTTTGGGTTACTAGAAAGGGCGTAGTTCATACTCGAGCCGTCGGCACAGTGCCTGCCGCTGGATTACGGCAGCTCAATATATAGCTCCGTAACCATGAGGTAGTGATCCATGCTCGATGAGATTGTACTCACTAACGTTGCAAGTAAACAATCTTTAGAGCCATCTTTAGAGCATGATCTACTATGGCGACTATGTGTTGAACATATAGCAGCACACATTTATTAAACAATGAAGAGTCATCGATTGAATTGTCGCCTCGAAGGCATGAGAGACTAGCCTGCTTTGTATTCATATTTTACGCGGCAAAATCTGATCCATTAACTTCGAACTGACATAGCGCGCTTTGGGCACCCACTCTTGTAACGGTTTTATTATTTTTGGTCAATACGGGATATGGTTTCCTGACGAAACGACGTTGCTCAACATTGGGCAGGTAGGTAACACTTTTGTCGGAGATAGCAGATCAAGTCCCAAGACACGGTGGGCTGAGTTAACTGTTCTACAAGTATGAATGAATACTTTCTATAGAATAACAGATATGATGATTCAACACTCAGGAAAATTTAATACGACCTTTATCAAGTCATACAATTTTATGAAGAATCCGATAATTTTTTACCCCTTGAAAATTGCTTGGAAGATTGCTAATGGGACATGAATCAGTTTCAGTTTACACTTACCCCTTAAAGTGTCGTCGTTCCACTTGAATGCTCTACGGGAGATATCTATCGACAGGAGGCACTCTATGTCTTGAAGTATCAGAATTCTCGATAAACATTTGAGATAAGAACATTTTATTTTGGTTTTTGGTGGTATTTACCACTTATTGTAGATAGGGCCCGTAGGATTAAAGCCGGATTTTGCAAATCGCTTGCCCGGAGGGTGGCGGTGACCCGAACTCAGTAGTCTGATCGTACCATGCTAAACAACGATTCAAGTATCCATTTGCCTATGCAAAGCCGATGCTTCCAGCCATTATGGAGAACACGAGAGCTAGTACTTGGCACTGAAAAAAAAACCAGTAGAGAACACTTGCTGGCAAGAAAAGTTCTTAACGGTTCCTCAATGCGGAACGGAAGAGTCGACAAATGAAGCTCGGTGATCATTGGGGTCACAAATCGACTTCAGCTAATATTGATGTTAGAACGTGTTACCGTAACATGTCGGTGTGTGTTTCGCATGTACATGTATACACCTTACATATATATATGTATATGCATATATATATATATGTATATGTATATATATATATATATATACATATATATATACGATATTTACGTAAAGAGCTCAATAATGACGGAAAACACTGCAACATTTGCAGGTGTTTATACAATAATGAATGGCAGTGCATTGTAAAACGTTATTCTATTCTAATGCTCATTATTTACATATAAGAATGTTTCGACTTTGATTTGCCTGTAGACCTATTTTTTTCTAAAACTATAATCTTATGTTCGTTCCAACATATATGTGTTAGTGGGTGAAAATTGTTTTTATTTTTTACGACAAATAATTACTTGGCGCTGAT